AGCAGAGGTACCCTCTGGCAAATTTTTAAAAAAATTACCATAATTCAGCTTAAAGATCTTTTTTAAAAAAGCTTTATTTAATTTTATTTATTCATTCATTTATTTTAATTTACCAGAGAGAGAGAGGGAGAAAGTGAGAAAGCAAGCCACCAGGTCTGGGACTAGAACCATGGTCGGCCATATGGGAATGTCCAGCGCCTTAACCACCACACCACCTGCTGGCTCCCAGTTTAAAGATCTTAATTGCTTCTTTTGCAGTTCTAGAACTGAACAAGGGTCATTCCATAAAATAGAATAAGCGTTCCAATGAGTCCAGCGGAGGAGGTTTGCTTTATAGACAGAAAAGGGCTTTTTTTTTTTTTTTTTTTTTTTTTGTCTTGTTTTGAGAGAGATTTTTGTTAAGAGTGTGCACTCCCCAGAGAGACCTAAAGTAAGAAGTCATGGCTACACCTCAGTCCCTTCTCCATTCTCCTCTCAGGCCAACGGGCCAACGTAACATTATGCTATCTGCTGGTCCCCGGATTGGTCATTGCAGTTACTTCCCTCTCAAGGTGGGGGCAGAGAGACAGAACAATAGGAAAATAACTGCTTAGTTAAGATCTGGTTACTTCTGGATTGTCACTGGGAGTAAAAGTGTTTGGGAAAGGAGCTTTATCTCTCTCTCCTCATTTCTCTGCTGGTCAGGTAACAATTGAGCTTTGGCTCAGTGACATGGAGACTCGAGGGACTCCATTCGGACCTTTAGTCTGGCTTGTTGGGGTCTAGCACATGGTTGAAAACACTGACCTGCTATCTTTTTTAATATGTCCTAAAAGGGGAACCACATCCCTTCAAAGTTTCGCTTTACATTTCCCACAGAGCTCCTTGTGACATTTTTTTTTTTTCCAAAGGAAAATGTAAGGGTCTGTCCCTTCCGCAGCAGGACTGGGAGATAGCATTAAGAGTGAAACCAGGGAAGTGAAGGTGACCGGTCTTGGAATGTGCACCTCCCATCAATCCCTTTACTCTCCCCAAATGCAAGGAAGGACTTTGTCCTCATGTCCCCTTATCAGCACGGAGACAGTAAATACCAAAGAAGAGAACAATTGTGGTCAGCTCCTCCCTGAGGTTTAGGATTAAAGAACATCAACACTTGGGGACAGAGCTTATTGTGAAGTCTCCTCTGTCTCCCAAGTCCATCCTGCTTCCAAAGGAGTTATTTACTCACCATTGTCCGAGCTTTAAACCCATTGTTTCTCCCTTTAAACCATGTTGCAGTGTTAACTCCCATGCTGACCCCAGGAGGACCATGAACTTCTCCTCCTCTTATCGCAGAATTTAGCCAGCCAGGCTGTAGGAGCCTGCTTGCTATAGTTCCTCACTAATGTGAAATGTGGATTAAGCTCCCTCCCCACTTGTGACATTTTGCCTTTAAAACTGACCAAGGAGTGCTGGGTGCTCAGACCCAGCACCTGTGCGGGCTGTTTGTTGGCTGTTACCCTGTGCTCATGAAGAATTAGAGACTCAGGGAACCAGCAGCTAGCGTAATGGCTATGCCTCTTGACTCCCATGTAGTTGACCGCGGTTCGCGTCCCAGACCCGGTGGCTTAGAACTCACGCCGGGCGCATGTGCGTGCGTGCCCAAGATCCCAAGAGGAGAATGGAGGAGAAGGGATTGCGGCGTGACCATCCCCCCTGGGGAGTGATTTCTCGCTTTCTGTCTCTATGTCTCTGTCTGTCTGGCGAGCGCACGTGCCCTATACCAAAAAAAACTCTCAAAAAAAAAAAAAAAAGAATTAGAGACTCAGACTCGTAGAGAAGAGCAAGCAGAGTTTATCAGGGAAGGAGAAAAGCTTCCAGTGCAGTGGAAGGACCTGAATGGGTCGCCAAAGAGCTGGAGGCTGGGGGCTTTGTCTAGCAGCTCTAGCAAGGCACTGGCTTTTTGATAAGGAAGTGGGCTCCAGAAAATAGGTACATGGTAGTCCGAGTGGTTTATTCTTTGTGGGGTCAGCAGACCATCACGTTCTGTACTTCTTGTTAGAAAAGTTACCGAATGGGAACTTGCCCTTGGCTACAGCTGCCGTGAATCTCAATGGAGCCAGCTTTTGGCTGTGAACACTTAGCCACTGTGACTCCATCTTGGCTTTATCCTGTCTATATGCTCAATATCCCTGTCTCCTGCCATATTAGCGAGGCATCATAATTTTTTTTAAGAATTATTTTATTTAACTTTATTCATATATTTATATTCATTTGACCAAAGAGTAACAGAGTGAGAGAGAGAGTGAGAGAGAGTGAAAAAGCAAGCCGCCAGGTCCAGGACTTGAACTATGGTCGGCCATGTGGGAGTCCAACGCCTTTAAGCACTGTGCCATCTGCTGGCCCCCACAGTGTTATAAATTCTTTAGAGTCATGTAAAAGGGGTGTATATTGTGCATTAGTTAGACCACAGGGGAAAAACACAGTGACTTCCCTTCAGTCCCTTACCGTAGCTGTAACTGGGTCTAATTCCTGTCTCAGAACCATCACACATTCCATAGGACGGAGGCACTCATCTCTCGGGGTAGCCTGGATGGATCCTGTGTGTCCAGACAGACGTCCTCATTTGACCCAAGTAAATCCATTCTGCTCCACTCCCTTTCCCTGAGCCTCGTTTCTGAGGCTGACACCCCAACCCTTAATGTGCCCAGTCTGAGCCCGTCTTTATCTCCACGGTTCTCCCCAGCTGCTCCTCCTCGTCTCCTCCCTCAGTGAGTGAGCATGATCAGGAAGACCAAGAATCCTTCTTTGTTGGCAGAGGCCGCGCATATGCACCAGAGAGAGAGGAATAAAGCACCCCAACGGGGCGTGGTCATGCCTTGGTGGCGGTGGCGGCACTTCTCCATCCTGCGGGGATTCGGAGAAGGACGCATACACACCCGCATGCTTTGCAAGCCTCTGGGGCTGGGCCTCAAGTCGTGGTTGGCCACGTGGGATTCTGTTCCCTTAAACACCAGGCCATAGGGCCAGCCTGGGGGTCATTCTTTTTTTGTTTGTAAATATTTATTTATATATCTATGTATTTGTTACGATATTCAGGCTACTGGGTCTGGGACTTGAACCACAGTTGGCCATGTAGAAAT